CCCAGGGAGCCCCGCCCACCGCACTCACCCACGACCAGCTCACCCCAGGGAGCCCCGCCCACCCCGAGGGAGCCCCGCCCACCGTCCCGAGGGAGCCCCGCCCACCGCACTCACCCACGACCAGCTCGCGCACTTCCTTCCAGCGTATATGGCTCCCGGTCTCGTGCAGCAGTGTCACGGTTATCCGTCTCTGGATGCCCTGCATGCACCAGGAGGAGAGGCGGGATGGCCCCAGGGCCCCGGGGAGGGGTGTGGGCGGGGGAGGCGGAGAGCAAGGTAGGGTGGGAGGGCGTCACACCTGGTGGAGGAGGAAGGTTCCCATGCACGGCATGCCCCCACGGTGGTCCACCATGGCAGGGATGTAACTGGAAAAAACAAGGGCAAGAGATGGGGCCCTCCCCAGGCCCAGGGCAGGTGGGGGCAGAGGTGGGGGAACAGCAGACAGCTCGGCACACTACTCGGGTCACTACTGTGTGTCTATGGGTCACTAGCTACTGTGTGTCTATGGGTCACTAGCTACTGTGTGTCTATGGGGTCACTACTGTGTGTCTATGGGTCACTAGCTACTGTGTGTCTATGGGTCACTAGCTACTGTGTGTCTATGGGTCACTAGCTACTGTGTGTCTATGGGTCACTAGCTACTGTGTGTCTATGGGGTCACTAGCTACTGTGTGTCTATGGGTCACTAGCTACTGTGTGTCTGCCTGGACCCAGCCCTGGGGGCAGAGGGTTCTGCTTCTCTGGTCCATATGTGGTGCGGAAGGCACCTGGAAAGATCCGCTGGGAGCCAGGAGCCCAGAAGTGCAGTTCCAAGGTCCAGCCCCCCAGCCTGAGGGTCCCCTCCTCACACTTCACCAGCCCGAGGCCCAGCCTGGCCTGTCGCTCAGGAGGTGCCACTCACTCGCCGTTGGCTTCCAGCTCGCAGATCTCGAAGTAGACCAGCAGGTCATATTTGCAGTGGCAAGGCCCAGGGCTGGGCCGTGTCAGCGTGCTGAGCTTGGTGGCAGGCACTACGGGGACAGGAGACATGCATGGTGGCAGAGACCTGGCTAATCACCTGGGAGGGCTTCAGAGGCTGGACGGGCATCTTCTCTCCAGAGACGCTCCCTCCCCCCATCCCCCCCCATCTCGCCTACACACTTGGTCCTGTGCGTCACCCAAGTTCAGATGCAGGAGACATGTTCTCCCTAACCCAAGCGAGAGGCTCACATGGCCTTAAAACCTGGGCATGGTCTCTTAAGTAGGGCCATGGCTGAAAATCAGAGACCCAGCAAGGCAGCTGACGCAGGCGCTAGGGCTCAACCCTCGCACAAGCCCGGGCTGCCCCTCTGTCTCCCAGATGCACTTGGCCAGATAATACGCCAGTCCAGGCGTGGCGTGTCCCAAGGCCAGCCCCATGCCTTCTCCTGGCCTCAACTCTCCCACTTATGTCCTGCTTCTGACTGGCAGCCTCTGCGCCCTCCTTGCCAGCAGCTCCTGGGACTCCTGCTTCTGACTGGCAGCCTCTGCGCCCTCCTTGCCAGCAGCTCCTGGGACCCTTTCCGGCACCCTGCCTCCACCATGCTCCTGCCACTGTGGCTCCGAAGATCTCCCCCGTGAGGGCTGACAGCATCCTGGGTGTGTAGGCCCGGGCCCCACACCCGCACCCACAGCACCGACATCACACTGCTTGGATGGACACAGGGAGCCCTGCCTACCTGGCTTGGACAGCGGCATGACCCGAGGAAAGTGCCGGCGTGAGGGCCTCAGGGGGCTGTGGGGAGAGGAGGCCGGCGTGAGAGGACTCAAAGGGCTGGTAACCGCAGGGTGCTGGTGGAGCAGGTGGCCAGGGCAGGGCAGGACATGGGCCCCGACCCTGACCCTACCTTCTTGGTTCCTACTGGGCCCTGGACCAGCCTGGATGGCAGGACCCCCCCGCCCTCAGCACCCTGGCCCCACCCCACAGGAAACAAGGTGGGCCGAGCTCTGGTTCCCAGCTCAGAGACCCTGGGCTGAACCTCTCTATTCAGCAGGGGGCAGGCAGAGCCCCTGCCATCCCCGACCACTGGACATCCACAGCCCGGGTCCTGCTCGACAGCTGGGGAGGCGTCAGAGCTGCACGAAGGCCACACGGTAGGCAGGAGCCAGAGATGGGAGCAGGCAGCAGTCAGCAGAACCGCTTCTTGAGGTTAGGCCAGCCTGCCTCCCTGAACCCCGCCCATGCCTAGGTGAAGGCTGGGGTTCTGAACCCCTGCTCAGTCCTGTGGGGGGACACACCAGAGGGGTGGCCACTGCGACACAGGGCTTAGCAGCTCGAGGACTGACAGACAGGAGCGCAGAGGGGCGGGGAAGGCTGACCTGAGCACATCCTTGCAGAGAGGCGGGAAAGGGTGCTGCTGGTAGTGACCAAAGACCTCAAACACGATGGGCTGGCTCTTGATGTACTCGACGAAGGACTTGGTCACTTCCACTGCAATCTGGACAGGGGGAGGAGAGTCTCATCAGAAAGTGCTCCCTCTCCACACAGAACCAAGCACTCTGGGCCCACCCTCTGCTCCTGTGGGGACAACGCTCCTCTCCTACCCCTGACCACCTTGGCCTCTGCTCCCAAGCCAGACCAGGCCAGGTGCCCACAGCCAGCTCTCGGCTAATGTCTCCAGGACAGACGGGGCCACATGACTCAGTTGCCTTTCCGGAACAGAGTCCAGGAAGGAGGCTGAGGCTGGTGCAGCCTCAGCAGCCTGCCAGGTTACACAGATTGACTCGTGTCCTCCCCCCCCCCCCCAGCTCCTGTGCGGACATCCCCAGGTTCTGGTCCTCGGAGAAGGGAGACTGGGCAGACACACGGGCAGGCGGCCGTGAGTGCGTGTGAGAAGTAGTCTTCTAAAAGCCAAGGGGAGGTCAGCCAAGGAACCAGCCCTGCTGATGGGCGACTGCGACCACCGAGCTACAGAATGATTTGACCTTGACTGTCCAGCTCTGAGGCAAAACTTCCGCTGCACAGCCCTGTCTGCGGTGCTTCTGTCCCAGCCTGAAGGATGCTCCACCGAAGGCTCGAGGCCCCCACTCTCTGCTCCTGACAGCCCAGCCCTCATGGTTGCAGCTCCCCTGGCTGCTCAGGATTGATGCCCTGTGGCCCTCCGTGTGTTCTCTTCCTCCCTAGCCCTGAAACCCAGATCAGGGGCCTCGGAGACCTCAGCACACACCCTGGTCACGACCTCACTGAACACCCCCATGTCTACCTGCCAAGGATTCCCCATTTTTTCAACGTCGAAGGCCCTAGCTGCAGCTCCCACGACCACCATAGCACCAGCGCTCTTGTCCTGGGGCAGGCAAAGCCTGGCACAGGCTGGTTCAGAAGGGAACGAATGAATGATGCAGAGCCTTAATGTGGGCGGGGGGGGAACGGGGGCCCCAGGACATACGTTCTGAACGTGGTAGAAGCCGAGCGGAGGGCCCCTGCCGGTATTCTTCAGTGGCTCGGTGGAGAAGGCTTCGTCATGACGGTGGATGAAGCTGCAGGGAGATGTCACTTGGAGACAGGATTGGGCCCAGGCAGAACCCGGGTCCCGTGGGCCAGCACGAGCCCCCGATTCCGCCCATGGCTGACCACACGCCTCACAGGTGAGCGAGCAGAGCCATCACCTCCCCTCAGCCGCGGCACAGACCGCAGGGCTCACTTGAACTGGCAGAAGATGTCTGCGTATTCAGCAGAGATGCTGGACGCCTGCAGGACGGTCACTCGGAAGGTGAAGGTGCTGCCCAGGCGGAGGTGGTCCAGGGTGGAGTCCAGTGGCCCCTCCAGAGCAGCCTTCTCAGGGCTGTCCAGGAGACCCTCCGGCGGCACGGCTGTGGAGGGGGCAGGGGCTCTAGGCCGCACTCCAGACCCCACTCCCTTCAGGCTGGGAGCTGGTGCCCTGGTCTCCTGCGTCCCACGTCCCGAGCCGGGGGGGGGGTTTGCTTCCCGGACCCGGGGGGGGGTTGCCCTGGTCTCCCGCGTCCCGAGCCAGGGGGGGTGCCTACCCGAGCCGGGGGGGGGTGTCTACCCGAGCCGGGGGAGGGTGCCTACCCGAGCAGGTGTTGTTGTTGACTTCGTCAGCTGAAGGTCCAGCATCGGCTCCCTGGCCCTGACCTTCCACAATGCGCAGCTCCTCCTGGGAGGTCCCCGAGCGTGACATGCCCACTCCAGGGCAGGACTCAGACTGGAACTGTGTGGGACACGAGTCAGGAAGGCCACTGGGTCATGGGTCCACAGAGGAGCGGCACAACCAGCCCAGGACCTGCAGGGAGCCTGGCTCACCCTGCGTGGGACACCGCCTCCTAGGACTCAGTCTCCCCTGCCGCAACAGGCCCCTTCTGACCGGTGCAGGTGACCTGAGGTGCAAGCCACCTCGGGGGAGGTGCCTGAGCACAAGGAGGCACAGGGGTGGGAAAGGTTTTGTGCTGCCCTCGCTGCCCCTGCCAGGGCAGGACCTGGGAGAACGCTCCCCTCCTGGGCATTCCCTAGTGATAAGCAGCCAGGTAGGCAGGGCCGGGAGAGCCCAAGACGAGGAGGCCCCGAGCCTGGCAGGGGCTCAGCCCCCATTTCCTCCTCAGACAGCCTAGGAAGTCTCATTCCCAGTCCCTCCGAGAGAGCCAGAGATGGGCGGCCTCTGGGGGGGCCTGTCTAGGTCTCTCAGGTGGGAAGGCAGACAGGGGTGTGGAAACGTAGTGTCCTGTAAGGATCAGTGGAGATCCGACCCAAGAGAGCATGGAGACTGGTGGAGATCCGACCCAAGAGAGCATGGAGACTGGGGTATCTGTCCTGAGATCTACTGCTTCCAGCTCTGTGCCCTCCTGAGAGCCACACAAGGCCCCAGGGTGGTCCTAGTGGTGGTGTTCCAGAACGCAGGGGGCAGGGGGCAGGGGGCAGAGGGCAGGGAGCAGGGGGTGGGGGGGGGCGGGCAGGCCCGTGCACGAATAAGAAGTGAAGAACCCAGCAGAACTCACTGGAGACCCTACCAGGGGACCCCCAGGCCCTGGAGGCACCATGGCGGTGTGAAGAACAGACCTTGAACAGCAAGTACCTTTTCGAAATGCTGGTCATCAAAGGAGATTTTAGCGGTTCCAGATTGGCGGACACCAGAGCCATAGTCAGGGGCCTCTTCATCAGCTGCAGAAGGGAATACGTAAGCAGTCGGGCCCAGCTTGTCCTCCGGCGGGGTGGAGACAAGCAGCAGGCCTGAGGACCAGAACAGGGTCCGGGGCGGGACAGTCAGCCACTCCTGCCGGTATTCCAGGCAGCCAACACTGCCCGCTATCATAGCAGCCAGGGAGCACCATCAGCCTGTGCCGGCCGGGGTGCTGTGCCAGCCCCGGCTTGTGCCCCCTCCACGGGAGCCACAGGCCCTACCTTGCCCATCTCTCACAACCACAAGGATGCTCAGGTAGAGCCGAGGGCTCCTACCCCTCCGCTGCCCTGGGCAGAGCCACGTGGACCCTACTGGTGTCATCACCAGTACTGTGGGTGTCCTGCCGTTCCCTGTGTGAAGCCACCAGGACCCCATCAGTGACTCCTCTAACTCTCACCACCCCCCTCTTCCTCCACACAGTGGAGGTGGCTTTCCCTCAGGGAGACAGCTGGGCCTCTGTTCCAAGTGGCCCGATTTGGTTCCAGACTGTTACCCCGAGCATGGCCCGAAGCCCCAGAGGGCTGACGAGCAGTCCTCTTGTGCCAAGGCCAGGAGACCCGCCTTGGCAGCCCAGTGCCGGCCAGGGCCTGCCCCAGTCGGCTCGGCAATCTGGCCTCGGTCCACAGCCACGAGACGGGCAAGAACCAGACAAGGGAACAGTAGGTGTCACCCGAAACACAGGAACCCAGCTGTCTTCTAATGGGTCTCAGAGACCAGTGTGGGTCAGACTGCATCCCTGGGCCTCATCCAGCCGCATTTCCCGAACACAACCTGGCACACACCACGCCCACCTTCAGGCCATCGGGGGATAGGAAGGCAAAACTAGTTCACATTGGCTCCAGAGTGGCTGAGGGCCCGGACGGGGCTAGCCTCACACAGACCACGTGAGGACACCAGTAGAATCCGTCCCTGCCCCAGCCTGCATCTACACGCACAGAGCCGGGCCCGGCCCGCCCGCCTGGCCCAGCCCGCACCTGAGATGGCCTGCACGGCCACTCGGAGGAAGCCCTTCACCTCGCCCTTCTCGCTGACAATGGCCACACGGTGCACCAGCGGCACGGGATACAGCAGGTTGCTCAGGTACACGAAGGCCCTGCGGGGGGCAGGGGCTGTGGTTACAGGCGGCCCTCGGCGCACACTCCACGTGGTGACAGTGACAGTGACAGCACAGCCAGCGCACGACACGACGCGAAGCTGCAAAGCCGAGCGAAGCCACAGACCAGCCGGGGCTGAGGCAGCACAGGCAAGCAGGGTGCAGGCACGGGGTGACGAGGAGGCCGTGCGCGGGGGTCTTCTGTGCTCAGAGAAGACAGGAGGAGGTGGAGACACAGAGGAGGAGGGAGCAGGCCTCACGAGCAGAGGCCCAGCCCGGCCCAGCCCAGCCCTGCCCAGACAGGGCCATCTGAGAAAAGAATAGCTGAGGGTTTCAGCCTGCTTCAAGGACTAGGGGACTGGGCCGCCGGGACACGCTGATCTCCACCGCTCACGGACCGATCTGCACTGGCCCCCATGGAACAGCTCAATTCCTAAGTCCCTTCTTGGCTGGTGGAGCTATGTGGTCACCTAGGTCAAGCCGGCTCTCCCAGGGTCAGTACCAGCCCCGTGCCCCACGTGGAGGGCACCTCACATTGCAGAAGTGTTCTTCACACACACGTGGGCCCTGCCCCACGCTAGCAGCTCCGCCACAGGAGCTCCTGGGAGGCCCTGCGGGTGTCTCTCCATCACCCGCCCCTCTTCCGTTCCCACAGGTCCAGGGCACTGGCCACAAAGAGGCTGCTATACCCTCAGTGACACCCCAAATTCTTGTGGGATACCCAAGTCCCAGGAGGCCCACAGCAGCCCAGCTGTCTCCACCATCCCCACACAGGCTTAGCCCTGACTGGCCTTGGGGGCCAGCGACATCTCGGATACCTAGACTGTCTCCGTCCTCCCATGCAGCAGCCCCTCATTCCCTTCTTCCGGTCCAGACCTCTCCCCAGCAGCCCTTGGTCTTTTGGCTTAGTCAATCCATGAAGCATCTCTTGCTTTCAGTAAGCCCTCCTATACACAAGGGGTTTCATGATCGTTTCCAGAAAACATCTCCAGTAGGCTGGTGGTGTGGTGTGGTGGGCTGTCTGCCTCCGGGGCCCTGGGCCTCTCCGGCTGTCCATCCGGGGCCTTGCTTTTCTCAGCAGTGGGCTCTGCCACAGCCACCCCAGGGGCGCAGATGCCCCGAGAGCCACAGCCGACACCGGTGCCTGGGCACCCAGCCTGAAGCTCAAAGGCCCTTCCGGCCCCTGCTGTCTCCCAGAAGGCTCGGAGGCAGTGGGGCCCAGGTCCTGCCGCTGCCCAGACCTGTCCTCAGTGGTTTGGAAGGGTTGTGGGCTTCCAGGGGCCCTGGACAGGAAGCTCCCAGGCCCCACAATGGCCTGCTGTCTGATCCTCTCCCACCAACCCCAAAGGCCAGGTCCCAGGGGTTTGAGCAGTATGGAGAGCTCAGCTGAGAGAAGAGGAAGGCCCTGCTCTGGCCGCAGAGCCAGGCTCAGCGGGAGGCATGCCCGCTTTCCCCCAGCCCAGGAGCTGGGCAGGCCCCGCCA